CTTTTCCTTTGAACCTTGTGGGGAGAGCCGCTTACAGAGAAAGGTGAGGGAGATCAGATGATAGAGAAAGATGAGAGAGAGCAGCTGTTTACTGAGAATTTTCTTTTCCTTCTCCAAACAACAGAGGGAAGGGCCTGAATTTACCATTGAACCAGTCCTCTTCTGCAGCAGCAGTTTTCCTGAACAGCCAATGTCCCTCGAATCTTTAGAGAAATCAGAAAAAAGACACTTGTTTCCATTGTGCCTTTCTTTGCTTAAGGACTTCTCAAAATGTTCACAGCTAATGAACTTGTACCAAAAGTAACAGTATTGAATTTGAGGGGAAAGGTAGGACCTTGGTTTAATATAACAGCTGAAAGACAGCGTGTTCAAAGTTGCAGTACTGCCTCTACCAACAGCCCCCTCCCTCCCTACAGTGTGGTGCCCCCTCAATGCTGACACCCCCACCCCCAACGGTGTAGTGCTGTAAAGTTTGTGTGCAAGTCTTTGGAATGTACTCTGTGTTTTTCTCCCTGTTTATTTGGTGTCTTCTAGCCTACTTTCCCAGCCTCATTTATCCTCAAGAACCACCTTGCAGGATGACCAGCCTAGAATAGCTTATGCTTTTGTGTATGGACATCCTCCACCTCCTTCTCCTCCTCCTCCTCCTCCTCCTCAAGCCAGAGTGCCGATGGGAAGGTAAGGCGGTTTTGAAAGGTTGAGAGAGCTAGGGCTTTTCTCTTTAGAATGACGAAGGATGAGAGGTGACTTGATAGAGGTGTACAAAATGATCAGAGGTATAGATAGAGTGGACAGCCAGAGACTTTTTCCTACGGTGGAGGTAGCGTTTACAAGGGGACATAGTTTTAAAGTGAAAGGAGGTAGATATCGGGGAGACGTCAGAGGTAGGTTCTTTACTCAGAGAGTGGTAGGGGCGTGGAATGCATTGCCAGAGAGGGTAGTGGAGTTGGCCTCATTAGGGGCATTTAAGCAGCTATTGGATAGGCATATGGATGATAGTATAAGGAGGTTAGATAGACCTTAGGTTTAGGGTAAAAGTTCGGCACAACATCGTGGGCCGAAGGGCCTGTACTGTTCTATGTTCTATGATACGTAAGCTCCCTGTGGCCCTGTCACTCCCTGCCTGCCCCTTTCTGTGGCACTGCTATTAATATCCTCATGCATTGTTCCTTAGCACCCCCAGTACAAGGAGATATCGAGAGGGGGAAAGATTTCTGCCGGTCTGAATTGGAGGAGATCCTGCCTGTGTACCGAAAGGACAGTCATTTGGAGGTTCAGTCTGGCAGTCACAAGTACCCAGGACAGGGAGTCTACCTGCTCAAATTCGACAACTCCTACTCGATCTGGAGACACAAAACCCTGTATTACCAGGTCAACTACAGCTCCTGAAGAAGCAGCCTCAGCAGCAGCACTTCCCAGGGGAAGGGGAACAAATCCGCATCCCATTCCTCCAGAGATACTCTCTCTCTCCAAGACAGCCTCTTGTTTTCTTTCTCTGGCGATTTGTTTTTCTTTATGAAAATCTGACTGGAGCTAATGTGCCCAACATCGAACCCTATGAGCTCTCCCAAGCTCATACATATCTGGCATGTTAAGCGTCTTTTCTGTTTGTTTTGTTTCACAGTATTGGCTTTGTGTTATTTGTGTTCTTGGTACCACTGAATTTATATATAATATATACATTAATGTCATTTTATGCTTAAAAATTTATTTTTGCTGTTTTGTTACTATGTGCTTATTTTGTAAATCCCTCACTGTATACCCATGATGTGGAGGTGCTGGTGTTGGACTAGATCAGAAGTCACATGACACCAGGTTATAGTCCAACAGGTTTACTTGAAATCACAAGCTTTTGGAGTGCTGCTCCTTTGTCACCTGACGAAGGAGCAGCACTCTGAAAGCTTGTGATTTCAAATAAACCTGTTGGACTATAACTTGGTGTTGTGTGACTTCTTACCTTATAACTGTATATGTTTAAGGACCTAAGCTGCAATGATTTTCCTTGTGCAATATCTGGTTTAGGCTTGTTCTGTACTATTTTCTGAGCAGGTTCCAGTTGCATTCCTGTGTTTACAAGTTACCTGTTGCTCCTTCATCCCAAGGTACCCTCTCAAAAAAAAAAATTTAAATCTTAATTCTTTTATTAAAAAATCGAACTCACATTCCAATCGTTGGAATCTGGGAAAGTCGAGCAAGGATGTGAGACTGGATGTGATGCAGTTGTGAAAAATGAATGTCATTTGCAGCCTTCGCAAAACACAATATATTTTGTATTCTGTGTACTGCCTATAAAAATAAATAAATATAAAATTGTAAACTTAACATGATTGAAGGTTAAGCTGTGTATTGGGGCTGGGGTGAATGGCAGTTAAGGAAAGCTGTCATACAGAAAGTTTGATTGCAAACAAAACGTCGCCGATCCCCTGCAAATCTCAGATTCTGTAGAGAGAATACTTCACACCTGCTGAAGAGTCTCTGAAATGCAACCACTGTTACATTGTAGGAAACAAGGCAGCCAATTTTGCACAGTAAACCTTCACAAACAGCAGTGTGACAGTGACCAGATAGTCTGTTTAATTATATTTCCTGAGGTGTAAATATTGTCCCTAGGATTCTAAAGAGAACTCCCCTGCCCTTTTTCAAAACAGTGCCACAAGTTTTTCACATCCACCAGAGAAGGAAGGTGGTATCACTGCCTGCGTCAGGCATTTATCATCACAGAATCCTTACAGTGTGGAAGCAAGCCATTTTGACCCATCGAGCCCACACCGACCCTCTGAGCATCCCATCCAAACCCGCCCGTATTTCTCATGGCTAATCCACCTAGCCTGCACATCTCGGCATACTAGCATGGCCAATCCACTTAACCTGCACCTCTTTGGACCGTGTGAGGAAGCCAGAGCACTCGGAGGAAACCCATGCTGACACAGGGAGAATGTGCAAACTCCATGTAGACAGTTGCCCAGGGGTGGAATCAAACCCAGGTCCCTGGTGCTGTGAGGCAGCAGTATAAGCCACTGTGTCACCCTACGTTTTTGTAAGCCCCATTACAGATACTTGAGCCCCTCATTCGGCCTGACACACCTGTGTAACACTGTTGGAGGATCAGTACTAGGGGAGTGCCGCACTGCTGGAGGGTCAGTACTGAGGAAGTGCTACAAGCAAGGCTTGAGTCTATTATTTTGGCTTTTGACCACCAGTGGTAGATAAAGATTGATTGTTTCAGTTATTTTGCAAATGATTATGTTTTGGCCTGTTAGAATATTCAGAATGTTTACTTGCAGCCTGCACACATTGATGTTTCCTAATCTAAGCTTGCACATGGTTTCACTCAGCTATTGAATAGGCAAAACACTTAGGAATAATATGCTTCATTTGTCAGGCCCTGGATATGCAATTCCATTTAAAAGAAATGGACACTGGTAATATTGTGGGAATTCTGATTTTAACATTTTACAACCAGAGAATCTTGTAACATTAAAGGGGGCCATTTGTATCACTGTACCTGTGTTGTCTGTTGGTAGAAGCTATTCAATTAGTTCTTCCCTGTTCTATTGCATTCTAGGAAATATTGCCCTTTTAAGGGTTTAATGAATTACCTTTGGGAAGTTACTCTTCAATCTATTCCATCACCCTTGCTGATGATACATTCTGGTTAACAGCAAATCGCCAGCTAAGGACAGCAGATTTCTTCCCTGAAGGGCAGTCATAAACCTAATGAGTTTTCCCCCAACAATTGGCAATGGTTTCATGAGGCCATCGTAGTTCTAGACTTTTAATTGAATTTGAATGCAACCATCTGCCATTTTGGTATTTGAACCACACCCCTAGGGTATTAACCTGGGTCTCTGGATGAGTAGTTGACCAACAATGCCATTAGACCGTTACTGCCTCAAGAATCTATAACAATTGGTAAAAGCAATTCCATATGCTGTTAAAATTGGTTGTTGGAACAATCCTTCCCAATCCACAATTAAACCTCATAATTCTGGCTTGGGCCCTGTTCCCTGAACCTGTTTTTAACTTTCACTGTGCCAGTTACATTTGTAATGCAGAGCCAAGCTCCTCAAGGCTGGAAATCTGGTTTAAGTGCCAGAATCTCCCAATCAGATCATTGCTTGAATCTGGTGACACTATCAGGAGAAACCAACTGAGGTTTTGTGGAAAGATCTGTGTAAACAATGCTTGATTCCCTTAGCGAAGAGGCTGAAGATGATGTCTAAGATCTATGAAATAATGAAGACAGCGAGTGGGAATAATGAGATAGTGAATGGGGATCACCGGGGTGATGAATGGAAATTCTGGGATAATGAATGAGAGTTAAAGGGATAATGGGGGTCACAGGGAAAGTGGATGGGAATGGTTGGAATTCTGTACTAGTTATACATTGGATGTGAATGTTGCTGACTGGGTAAGCATTTATTGCCTATCCCTTATAGCCCTTTGAACTGACAGGTTTGCAACCCATTTTTCAGGAGCTGTTAATAGTCAACCACATTGCTCTGGATCTGAAGTCACACGCGGGGCAAACCAGATAAGGAGATTGACTTCCTTCCCCAAAGGGTGAACATTATTGAATCAAATGGGCTTTTGCGACAATAAAATAGGCTTGTATTTTTTAAAAAAAAATTGACATTGAACTGAAATTTCACCATTTGCCACAGTAAGTTTTGAATGTATATCCTCAGGACATTAGCCTAGGCTTCTAGATTACTAGTCCAGTAACATTACCATTGCAACTCCACTACTATCTCCCCCTTGACAAATGAAGAACCTAGGGATAGTGAATGGGATCATGTGGATAGTAAATGTGAATCACTAATATAATGAGTCGGAATCATTAGGATAATGAATAGGGCATCACATACAATTGGGATTATAGAATCACTGGGCTAACAAGTGGGAATAGTTGGGATAATGAGCAGGCTATCACTGTGATAATGAATGGGATATGAATTGGAATCACACAACATGAAGGGAATGTCACCCTTTCCTGAAAACTTACGGTCAAAAGCAGGGGCGCGGCTTGTAGGTGGCGTCATCACGCAGGGCGTGCGTCAGTCGCCAATGGGTGGGGTTCCGTGGTACAGCGCGGGAGCGGGAGATTTGAATTTGGAGGGAAGTCGTTGAGCCACGTGCGGATCAATGATGGAGTTTTATTTGTTGTGTTCACTTGCTGAGCCTCCTCAACAATTATTCAGGTAAAATAGACAGGGCGGAATAAAACTACCAGGGTTCATGGTAGTAACAAACCTCATGCCCCGTCATTAACGTTTTAATTCAGGATTTCTCAAACGTTTTGGAGATAGAAATGACCTTTTTTTTTAAAAAAAATGCATATCCTTCGTTGTGAAGTTTGTGTTTCTGCAGTAGTTTCATTTTGATCGAAATTATAAATTAAGTTCTACTGCAAATGGGGGAAGTAGTGGACTGAGTTGGAGTAAGTTCTTGTTGTGTAGTTAAGGAGGTGGACACAGGTCGTACTTCAGTGGTAAGAGCACAGGGCTTAGTGCAAGGTCCTGTTTACATCCTTTGCGTCACTGCTTCTCAAATCAACAAAATACACATTTGGTAAACATTTTAGCAAAGGATATTTCTACTAACCTCCTCTGTGGCCACCCTGGGATATCCTATTACGATGCTGAAAATCTAAGCTTGTTACCACCTGGCTGCTATTTCCTATTCTCCTTCGTTTTGCTTCCTTTTTGTGGTGGTTATTTATTCTTGAGTGTTTGTATTGATATTCTTGTTGCCTTTGATAGAATGATGATGCCTCCATATCTTAAATGAGTGTCTACTGTGTGTCTGAACAATCTTATTTAATAAGAACAGAAATTGCTGGGGAAACTCAGCCGATCTGGTAGTATCTGTGGATAGAGAAACTGATAAACTCTTAAGAACTTTGGATCATATTGGACTTGAAATGTTAATTCTCTTTCTCTCAACAGATGCTGCAAGACCCGCTGAGTTTCTCCAGCGCTTTGTTTTTATTTCAGTTTTCCAGCATCTGTAGCATTTTTTTATTCTTTCATTGATATAACTGGGGAACTTTCTAAACCACATCAGAGAATGACACACAGAACGCTACAGCAGAGGAACAGGCCCTTTGGCTGACCATTTCTGTGCTGACCATGATGCCATTCTAAACTAATCCTATCTGCCTGCATATGGTCCACATCTCTCTATTCTTTGCATGAGTCTGACTAAATGTCTCTTAAGTTTTGCTATTCTATTTGCTTTTACCATCTCTCCTGACTGTGTTCCAGGCACCTACCACCGTCAGTGTAAAACAAAACTAGCCTTGCACATCTCCTTAAACCTTTTATCCCTCTCATTTAAACTTGTGCCCCACCCTGGGAAAATGATTCTGACTATCCATCCTATCCATACCTTCATAATTTTATATCCTTCTATCAGGTCGCTGCCTCAGACACTCTAGCAAAAACAATTCAAATTTGTCCAACCTCTCATTATAGTTGCCAAACCAGGCAGCATCCTGGTAAACACCTTCTGCATGCTTTCCAAAGACTCCACATCCTTCCTATAGTGTGGTAACCAGACTGCAAATTATACCTCAAATGTGGCCTAACTAAAGTTCTATGCAGCTGCAATATGACATGCCAAATTTTATACTCTGTGCCCTGACCCCTGAAGGCAAGCATGCCATATACCTTCTTTGTGACCTTATCCTCTGTATATCAATGTTCATCGGGGTCCTGCCATTTAATGTAGACTTTGCTCTTGCAATTGACCTCCCAAAATACATCAAGAAGGTGGCATACATTGGGTTTAAGCTATCGGGCTCAAGTGAATCCCTAGGTGACAATAAAAAGTGTAGGACCATACTCAAGAAGGAAATCAGAATAATGAAAAGAGTGTATGAGATGGATCTGGCAGATAAGGTTAAAGATAATCCCAAGAGGTTCTATAGCTATATTAAGAATAAAAGCGTGGCCAGAGAGAGAATAGGTCCCCTTAAAGATCAGCATGGCCGTCTACGTGCGGAGCCACAGGAGATGGGAGAGATTTTCAATGAATATTTCTGCTCAGTGTTTACTGAGGAGAGAATCATGGATGCTAAGGAAATAAGGGAAACCAGTGGGAATGTGTTGGACAGCACACATATTACCAGGGAGGAGGTGTTTGCAGCCTTAAAGCCCATTAAGCTGGATAAATCCCCGGGACTGATCAAGTCCATCCTTGGACATTCTGGGAGGCTGGGAAGAAATTGCAGAGGCCCTTGCAGAGATTTTTGCTTCATCTTTAGCAACTGGTGAAGTTCCAGAAGTCTGGAGGGTAGCTAATGTTGTTCCACTGTTTAAGAAAGGAAGCAATGACAAGCCAGGGAACTACAGGCTAGTGAGCCTGACATCAGTGGTAGGCAAGTTATTGGAGAGGATACTGAGGGACAGGATCAACCAACATTTGGATAGTCACTGTCTGATTAGGGATAGTCAGCATGGATTTGTGCACAGGAAGTCATGTCTGACAAATCTTTTAGTTTTTCGAAGAGGTAACCAAGAAAATGGCCGAGGGTAGGGCAGTGGATGTTGTCTATATGGACTTTAGTAAGGCCTTTGATAAGGTCCCGCACGGGAGGCTAGTCATGAAGGTGAGGTCGCGTGGGACCCAGGGAGAGCTGCTAATTGGATTTCAAATTGGCTCGATGGTAGGAAGCAGAGGGTGATGGTTGAAGGATGTTTCTTGGACTGGAGGCCTGTGACTAGTGGTAGGCCACAGGTGTCAGTGCTGGGACCTTTGTTATTTGTTATTTACATAAATGATCTGGATGTGGATGTACAAGGCATGATTAGTAAGTTTGCGAATGATACAAAATTAGGAGGTATCATTGATAGCGAAGAAGGTTATCAAAAATTACAGAGAGATCTTGATCAGATGGGTAAGTGGGCTGAGGATTGGCAAACACCATTCAATACAGATAAGTGTGAGGTGTTGCACTTTGGAAAGTCAATCCAAGGTAGGACTTGTACAGTAAATGGTAAGGTCCTGAGGAGTATTGTGGAACAGAGGGAAGTAGGAGTATAAGTACATAGTTCATTGACGCTGCTTTCACAGCTAGACAGGGTGGTGAAGAAGGCATTTAACATGCTGGCCTTCATTGATCAAGGCATTGAGTACAGGACTTGGGACGTGACATTACGTTACAGTTGTATAAATCGTTGGTGAAGCCGCACTTGGAGTATTGTGCACAGTTTTGGTCACTCTGTTATAGGAAAGACATGATCAAACTGGAAAGTTGCAAAGAAGATTTATGAGGATGTTGCCAGGACTGAGTTATAGGGAGAGGTTGGCCAGGATAGGACTTTATTCCTTGGAACCTAGGAGAATGAGGGGTGACCTTATTGAGGTGTATAAAATCACGAGGACATAGATAGGATAGAACATAGAATGGTACAGGCCCTTCGGCCCATGATGTGCCATGCTATGCTACTAGGATCAAACTACCCCGCATACCCTACATTTTACTATCATCCATGTGCCTATCCAAGAGTAGCTTGAATGTCCCTAATATATCTGACTCCACTACCACTGCCGGCAGCGTATTCCACGCGCCCGCCACTCTGTGCAAAGAACCTACCTCTGACATCTCCCCTATACCTTCCTCCAATCACATTATTATGTCCCCACATCATAATCATTTCCACCCTGGGGAAAAGTCTCTGGCTATCCACTCTATCTATGCCTCTCATCATCTTGTACACCTCTATCAAGTCACCTCTCATCCTTCTTTGCTCCAATGAGAAAAGCCCTAGCTCCATCAACCTTTCCTCATAAGACCTGCCCTCCAGTCCAGGCAGCATCCTGGTAAATCTCCTCTGCACCCTCTCTAAAGCTTCCACATCCTTTCTATAATGAGGGGACCAGAACTGAACACAATATTCCAAGTGTGGTCTAACCAGAGTTTTATAGAGCTGCAGCATAACCTCGCGGCTCCTAAACTCAATACCCCTGCCAATGAAAGCAAACACACCATACACCTTCTTTACAACCCTTTCAACTTGGGTAACAACTTTGAGGGATCTGTGGACATGGACCCCAAGATCCCTCTGTTCCTCCACACTGCCGAGAATCCTGCCACTAACCCTGTATTCTGCATTCAAATTCGACCTTCCAAAATGAATCACTTCACACTTTTCTGGGTTGAACTCCATCTGCAACTTCTTTGCCCAGCTCTGAATCCTGTCATTGTCCAGTTGCAACCTACAACAGCCCTCCACACTATCCACAACTCCACCAACCTTCGTGTCATCAGCTAACTTACTAACCCACCCTTCCGCTTCTTCATCCAAGTCATTTATAAAGATTACAAAGAGCAAGGGTCCCAGAAGAGATCCCTGCAGAACACCACTGGTCACCGAGCTCCAGGCTGAATACTTTCCATCTATTACCACTCTGTCTTCTATTGGACAGCCAGTTTTGTATCCAGACAGCCAAATTTCCCTGAATCCCATGCCGCCTCACTTTCTGAATGAGCCTACCATGGGGCACCCTATCAAATGCCTTGCTAAAATCCATATACACCACATCCACTGCTCTATCTTCATTGATGTGTTTTGTCACATCCTCAAAGAATTCAGTAAGGCTTGTGAGGCATGACCTGTCCCCCTCAAAGCCATGACAACAAGGTGCAGGGCTGGATGAACACAGCAGGCCAAGCAGCATCATAGGAGCAGAGAGGCTGACGTTTCGGGCCTAGACCCTTCATCAGAAAAGGGGGAGGGGAAGGGGGTTCTGAAATAAATAGGGAGCGAGTGGGAGACGATAGAAGATGGATAGAGGAGAGGATAGGTGGAGAGGAAACAAACAGGTCGAAGAGGCGGGGATGGGGCCAGTAAAGGTGAGTGTAGGTGGGGAGTTAGGGAGGGAATAGGTCAATCCAGGGAGGATGGACAGGTCAAGGGGGCGGGATGAGGTTAGTCGGTAGGAGATGGAGGTGCGGCTTGAGGTGGGAGGAAGAACAGGTTAGGGAGGCAGGGACGAGCTGGACTGGTTTTGGGACGCGGTAGGGGGAGGGGAGATTTTGAAACTTGTGAAATCCACATTGATACCATTGGGCTGCAGGGTTCCCAAGCGGAATATGAGTTGCTGTTCCTGCAACCTTCGGGTGGCATCGTTGTGGCACTGCAGGAGGCCCAGGATGGACATGTCGTCTGAGGAATGGGAGGGGGAGT